TCCGTATTCCTGGATTTGCATCAGACGAAATTCGATCAGTACGGAAAACTATTGTACCATCATCACATCAACAAAAAATGCTGGCGGTAAATATCGCAAAAGCGAATAAGGTGCCTTCTACAACAATTACGCAACCAGTTGTTGGGAATACTTCTTCGCAAGTTAACGAAAAAAATGTTAATGGTTGAATTGAATAAAATAAAAATAAATAAAAATAAAAATAAAATTGGAATTCGAATTTTGCTTTATTTCGAACATAATTAGAGAAAAATTGATAAAGGTTAATTATTCCATTAAATTTCCAAGTCACGAGATACATTCGCATTTGTGCATGAACTATAAATATATATATAGTATTTTTAGCAAAATATATCTCATTTTATATATATTCATGCTCATTGATTCAACGTTGGAGAGTTTATAACGATATGGGTAAATACGATATACATTCATGATACATATTAATAATCATAATATTAAAATTATTTAAAAATTGTATTAACAGCTTGTATATATTGTATATAAATGCAGAGGTGAAGTAATTTGAAATAAACAATTTGTATAACTCTGCAAAGAAAAAAAATTATAATAAAAAAAAAAATAATTTGTATTACGTAGTTAATTTTTGAATAAAATACTGTATAAAAAATATATATTATACTGTATATATATATATATCGATATATATTTTTTTTTTAATAATTAACTGCAAAATCCTTGAGGATTATGAAGTTAAACCAAACTTTATAAGTTCTGATCCAGCCGAATTAAATCATTTTCCAAAAAGGTGTAAGCAGGTGCGCACCATTATATCATAGGAAATCTACACGATTTTCCTTTGATTCCCATTATTTGCAGAATCAGGAAAATCGGGAAATCTGCGATTTCCCGCAATATGTACAAATTCATTGGAAAGTCACTTACAGCTATTATCATTATTTCTGGGACACCTGAAGAATTTTCAGATAACCGAAATATCCTCTGTTTCATTCGGTAAATTATCTAGCTTTCCGGAAATTACATCGCTGCCTTCGGACTGAATGTCCGGAGACAGCCGAGAAGTTAGGTAATTTACCGAATGAAACAGAGGATATTTCGGTTATCTTCAGGTATCCTAGAAATAATGATAATGGCTGTAACTGTATTTACACGCGATATAAATTGTTATCGATTTCCCCAGCGTAACTACACAATAAACTAGATTTTTGAATTACAGCTGTTCTCATAAATTCTGGGACAACTGATAAAAATTGTTTCAGCCGAATTCGATAAGTTTTTGAATTCGTGTTATCGAATGCCGAAAATTCAATGTAGATAACACCGAATTCAAAAACTTATCGACTTCGGCCGAAACAATTTCTATCAGTTGTCCCAGAATTTATGAGAACAGCTATAAAATATGGTGAAAGTCAAATTGGTGTATTATATTCTGGAGTAGTGTCCGAAATTAGTGTTCTCAGGGTTTTCATAAGAACACTTATGAATTTGGTTTCATCTATATGTATTTTCTAATAGA